CATTTTTATTGCTTTTAGCACCTAGATAAAAAGTCCTTGAACCAAGGCATAAAAGAACCTTGCTAAAAGTTCTTACTAGTCTCTCTCCCACAAAATCGCCTAAGAGTCAGCCATCATAAAAAGGGATAGGCTGGTGTTTGAAACAATATTTTGAGTGTTTTATACAAATACTCTGGCATGCCTGCAAAGAGTCCATCGACCGGCGTATGACCAAAAAATCGTGTGAACATATTTTGGCACGCCCGAAGGGACCACTAGTGGGTGTTTAGAAAAGGCAAAAATGCCACCACGTCTTACGAAAAATTCCAAGGTCGTGGTTACTAATGAAGATTTGGAAGAAAGACATCAGCCAGCTCAGGCTGAGAACTCTACATCTAGTCCTATTGATGAGTTAGCAGTGATGCAAGCACAAGTGAGCTTATTGGTAGAAGCAATGGGAAGGATGGGTGCATGTTATAATGACATACAGGAAACTATGTCCTAACTTTTAGCCGTTATTTTTAACAAGCTAACTCAGGCTAGCAGCTCCAATAATCAGGAATCAGCTCTTCAGCAGAATCCGTCACAATCTATTTGGCCAGAGAGGGCCATTGAATTATCACAGCCATGGCCGCCAGTAATGATTTTCCAACCAGCTACAACATCAAGTTAGCCGGCTCATATGCCACCAACCTAGGCAGAAAACCACCCGCAGCCTACTGTGTTAGGTTTTAATCAGCGGCCAGTAGCAGCTCCGCGGCCACAGGTAATTCCACCAAACCCTCCTCTGGTACCTTTGAACTCGGGGGGAAATCAGATCAGGTGGAGACCACCAAATCCACTATATACTCATGTGAAACAATAGGATGGGCTTAGGGGGCAGAATATGGCTAATTAACCACATGATTGGCCGAATTACTATCAACCAGCGGCTAATCAGCCGCTAGTTTTTGATCAGGTACCACCAGTAGTAAATCAGCCACCTCAAGTCATGCGAGATAGAAGACAATTAGCTGATTTACTCACATAAAAGTATGACCTGGAACTTAGAGGTGCCGACCGACCAATCTATAGAACTCCATATCCAGAAGTGGTAGATCAAGTTGAGTTCCCTAAAGGATATAAAGTCCCTGACTTTGTAACCTTTAGTGGTGAAGGGAGTCAATCGACCGTGGAACATATTGGCCACTTCAGAATTCAATGTGGAGAGGCCAGTGTAAGCCCTTAGTTAAAATTAAGACTTTTTCCTAACTCATTGACAGGGGTAGCTTTTTCATGGTATATTCATTTACCTCCTAACTCTATTTTTAATTGGCCATAGATGGAGAAATTATTTCACAATCAGTTCTACCGCACGGAGACATAACCAACTATGGCTGATTTATACAGGCTGAGCCAATTGCCTAGTGAATCGGTTGAGACATTCATTGCAAGGTTTAGGAGGGTAAGATTAAGATGCCGTGTACCTCTTCCAGAACAGGAGTACATCTATTTGGCTTTGAATGGCCTTAATTTTGAACTCCGAAAGAGGCTTGAAGGGGTCCCATTTCGTGACTGTATGACCTGGCCGAGAAAGCTACTAGGTATGAGTTGGTCCTCAAGGAAGAAAAGGAATGGAAAATTTTCTCTAAAGGTACATACTATATGGACCCAGTTATGAAGGTTTTTCAACTGATGTGGTTGAAGAGGAAGATCTTGATGCTAATTTATCTGAAATCATTATTAAGAAACCTTATGCATGTGAGGCTTTGATAAAACCAAAGGCATCTACTAATGGTCTCAGCCATCAACATCATCGACCAGGAAGGGCACGGCCGACACTGGTAAGGTTTATATGTTTGACTTGGCCAAGACAGAATAAATTTTTGAACATTCGTTGGCCGACAACCAAATTGTTTTGTCAAAAGGACACAATATATCATCAGCTATTGAATCTAAAGGAAAAGAGTTCTCCAAATTTCATAATTCATGGAATCTTACTACTAACAATTGTTATGTATTTAGAAATGTATTGTAGAAAATAATCAATGAAGGTGTATTGAAATTTCCTGAAAAAAAGCCAGACGTGATGGGGGTCGATGGTGATCTATTCCTTAATATTATAAATACCAATATGATCAGCCTGGCACTTGAGAAAGCCACTGATAATGGTAAACAAGAAAGATCACCAAAAATTCTTGATAGTTCATCATCAACCAGCAACGATGAGCAAAGGGTAAAGGACTTAGAAAATCAGTTGAGGGAGGCTCAAATTGCCCTCATCAACCATGGCTATTGCCCAAGTTACAAAGGCCATGGAAATAATCAAGACAAGAGGAGTTATTTTAATCAACCAGGAAGCGCAGTGTCCATGAAAGGTTGGGCTATCAGCCTAGACAGAGAGCTAAAGAAGTGAATCGACTAATATTCAAAGAGAATGGGCCGAGAACAGTAAGAATCATTCGGTCAAAGATATCTATGGCCAATAGAGTTTTGCCAGAGCAACATTCCTATCCTAGTTTCAAAAGGAAACCATTAATCCAGTCAGAAATATGGGTTCAAAAGGGGAAAGAATCTAGCTGTGTAAGAACGGTTAGACCTCCTTTGGTTGACCATGGCAGATGGACTCGAGTGAATCATCCGAAGTTTCCTAAGCAGCCTCCTACACGTACCCAAAAAAAGAGGATGTAAAGGAAAAATGCAAAACTTAGAAGGAAAGAGAATAAAATCGACCAGGTTCAGCCAGCTAAGGAAGATGAACCAGGGAAGGCTGAAGACATGGAGGTTGCTATATCTTTTGGGAATAAGACATCCTCTTATGAGGAGAAAGATGATCAGCCAGATCAAGATCCAAAGTATGCGGCTAAGTACAGAATTCGTTTTGGCTCCCTTCTGGATGAGGTAAATTGTAATATTGTATTTGTTTTACCTTTTGTGTTTAAAACAAGGACAGAGCCAATGATGAACAGGGATGCTAAGTCAGCCGAGCCTAAGGAGAAGGCTGAATCTTCATAAATCAATAATGACTCAAAGAGTTCATCAGCCGGGATAGGATTGGTCTCTTAAAGCCAGCCAACTGAGGCCGATAAAATCATCTTTGAAAAACCACCTTTGGCCATGACACAACAGTTGAGGCCGTTGTATGTTAAAGTATGGGTTGAAGGTGAGCCAATCAATAGGGTGTTGGTTAACAATGGTTTGATGGTAAATGTCATTCCAGCAACTACTTTGAAGAAATTTGGCAAGACTATAGATGATGTGGTTCCAATCGACGTGGCCATCGGTGGTTTTAATGGGGGATCTAGTAACACCAAAGGTATTCTACCTTTGGAAATTACTATTGGTGGCAAGACATCCTTCACGGCCTTCTTTATCATTGACTCAACCGCGGCCTATAATCTCCAGTTAGGCCGAGATTGGATTCACCCTAATATGTGTATCCCATCAACATTGCATCAAATGTTGATTTTTTGGGACAGAAATGGGGTAAAAATTGTTGAGGCCGATAATAAACCCTTTATAGCCAGGGTGTATTTGGCCGAGGCTGCACTTTATGATAAAACTGTTGTACCTATCAAATTTGTTGGCATTAATAGGATGGGATGACCAGTAACAGCAATAATGAAGAAAAACTTAGTTAATACTAATATTGAAGAGCTATTGACAGAGGTAGTTCGACCGAAAATTGATATTTTCAGGTCGACCATCAAAGAAATTGAAGACGTTTCTGATGGATCACACAACTAAAGAAGAAAAGAAGTGGCAAGCTTTCAGGGCCACTTACATAAGACTGAAAGCATATCTAGTTGAAAAGAGATCGGCCAGAGAAGAGCAGTTAAATGAAGAAGTATTGGCCAGCACGGCCGACATAGTTGAAGAAGGTTTTGAAAAGTTAGATGTAATCCAACTTGAAGATCTGGAGTCAGCCCCTTCTAGGATGGAAGATAATAAAGCAGAGGTTCAAGATCCTTTATTTGAAATTAATGTTGGTACTAAAAAAGATCATTGGCCATTATTTGTTAATGATTTGCTTGAGCCTAAATTTCAGGCTGATTTGATCAATTTATTAAAGGAGTATAAGGATTGCTTTGCTTGGAGTTCTGAAGAGATGCCTGGCCTATCACGGAGTTGGTAGAACACAGATTAGCTATCAAAAAAGATTTTTAGCTTTATAAACAACCACCAAGGAGGATATCCTTTGAAGTAATGCTTAAAATTAAAGAAGAAATTAAAAGACTTCTTAAGGCAGGATTTATCCGAACAGTTAGTTATGTTGAATGGTTATCTAATGTTATTCTTGTAATAAAGAAGAATGGTAAACTTATGATTTGTGTAGATTTTCGCAATTTAAATAATGTCACTCCAAAAGATGAATATCCAATGCCAATGGCCGATCAACTTATCGATTCAGCTGCTAAGCATGAAATATTGTCTTTTATGGATAGCCATTCAGGTTAAATCAAATCTATATAGCCGAAAAGGATATTCCCAAAATGGCTTTTAGATGTCCTGGGTCAATTGGTACTTTTGAGTGGGTTGTAATGCCATTTGGCCTAAAGAATGCAGGGGTTACTTATCAAAGGGCAATGAATTCAATCTTCCATGATATGATTGGCCGATTCATGGAGGTCTATATGATGATGTAGTTGTGAAGTCATCGACCAAATAACAGCATTTGGAACATTTGAAAAAGGCCTTTGAAAGGATGAGAATCCACAAATTGAAAATGAACCCGTTAATGTGTTTTTAGGGTCTCAGCTAGGAATTTTTTTGGATTCTTGGTACATCAACGAGACATAGCAGTTGATCAGAATAAGGCCAAAGCTATTATAAATCTTATGGCCCCAACTAATAAAAAATAGGTACAAAGGTTTCTCGGCCAAGTAGGTTTTCTTAGAAGATTTATTTCTAACCATGCTGGCCGAGTACATGTTTTTTCTCCTTTTTTAAAATTAAAGTCACATGAAAAATTTCATTGGGATGAATCCCATCAAAAGGCCTTTGACAAAATAAAAGAGTATTTGGCAAACCCCCCAGTAGTGATGCCTCCAAGGAAGAAATGGCCGTTGAAACTTTATTTATCGGCTGTAGAGGAATCAATTGGTATCATGCTTGCTCAGAATAATGAACTTGGAATGGAACATGTTGTTTACTATTTAAGAGTACTAACTGATGTTGAATGCATATATTCTTCAATTGAGAAGCTTTGTTTATCTTTGTATTATTCAGCCATGAAATTAAAGGTATATATGCGGCCGGTTGATGTCTACAGTCTTTGTCAAACTATTATGATTAAATATATGCTATCAAGGCCATTGATTACTGGCCGAATAGGTAAGTGGGCATTTGCCTGGATGGAATTCAATTTTATTTTTGTCCCACAAAAATCAGTTAAAAGAAGGGTTCTGGCTGATTTCTTGGCCGATCATCCTTCAACTGATATTGATCCACAGGTTTATGATGAATTAGAGTGCTTAGCCATATTCCTAACCCCTTGGATATTGATGTTCGATGGATTAAGCATGGCCGATAGAGCGGGGGCAGGAATTGTTATCATTTCACCAGCTGGAAGAAAGACTTTATTTTCATTTTTCTTAGATTTGAAATGTTCAAATAATCAGGCTGAGTATGAAGCACTTATAATCAGCCTACAAATTTTAATTGAAATGGCTGTTAGTGATGTAAAAATCTTGGGAGGTTCAAACTTGGTACTTAGTCAAATTACTGAAGATTTCAAATACTTAAGTTAGCAATTAAGGTCGTTTCACTCTTTGGTCACTTCATTAATTAATCAATTTGATAATGTTCATCTTAAGTTCTGTCCAAGAGGACAGAATAAAAAAGCTAATAACATGGCCCAAGTAGCCTCTGAAATCAAAGTACCAGTTGGAATGGAAGATCAGTTAATAAAAATAACATGAATGACTAGCCTTCGGTAGAATTATGAAATACTATGTTGGCCGATTCCTGGGTAATTGATATAGAAGATCTGGCCGATGATGATCGGAGGATACCATTCATAATGTTTCTCTGAAATACAAACATCAAGGCTGATAGAGGTATCAAGAGAAGAGCAATCAACTTTCTACTCGTTGATGGGGATCTATACAAAAAAGGCCTTGAAGATGGACTCCTACTATAATGCATAAGTAAAGAAGAGTCACTTTAAGTTATGGCCGAGGTACATGAAGGTAGCTGTGGAGCCCACCAAGCAAGAATTAAAATGGGGTGGCTAATTCGAAGGTATGGATACTATTGGCCAAGAATAAAAAAAGATTACATATATTATGCAAAAGGATGTCAGGCCTATCAAAAACATGGGCCGATTAAAAATGTACCAGCAAAAGAATTACAACCAATAATCAAATTATGGCCGTTCAGGGGCTGGGGTCTTGACCTCATTGGTAAAGTGAATCCACTATCAAGCTAAGGCCATCACTAGGTGATTGTTGCCATGGATTATTTTACTAAATGGGTTGAGGCCAAAGCTTGTAAAGTGGTTGATCAACAAACAGTGATTAACTTCATGGAACAACATATTGTCCACAGATTTTGAATCCCAGAAACGCTTGTTTCAGACAATACAACAGTGTTTAGGGCAGTTGATGTGCTATAATTCAGCCACAATATGAACATCTATATGTTAGCCTCTACACCATACTATGCCCAAGCAAATGGTCAGGCTAAGTCTTCAAACAAAATTTTAATAGAGATCATTGAAAAAATGATCAAAGATAAGCCAAAAAGATGGTATGAGACTTTATCTGAGGCTCTTTAGGCCTATAGGAATTCAAAAAGAACAGGCACATGAATCACACCATACATGTTAACTTATGGTTATGATGTCGTTCTGCCTATGGAAATGAAGGTTAAATCAGCCAGAGTTGCATTCCAAAATAATCTAACTCCGGCTAATTATACTCAAGCAATGTTAATAGAATTGGAAGACTTAGATGAAGCCAGGTTTGATGCTTTGGATCATGTCATAGCTCACAAAAAAAGGTAATGAGGATCTACAACAAAAGGGTAAAACCTAAGTCATTTGCTTAAGAAGATTTAGTGTGGAAAGTTATTTTGCCAGTGGGTAAGGTTGATAGAAAATATGGGAATTGGTCTCATAAATGGGAAGGGTCATGCTTAGTTCATCAAGTCCTAAGTGGGGGAGCATACAGGCTGAAGTATCTTAGTGGTCGATTACATGATTACCCCATTAATGGCAAGTACTTCAAGAGGTATATGCCAGCAATCTTTGAAAGGGAAAATTAGAGTTAGCCAGTACTTTTGGCTGACCATGCGTACCTTTATGTAATAAATTCAGCCTATTTATTAGGCTGATTTAGTTGTTTAAGTTTTAATAAAAATTCTTGCTGAAGTACTGATATTTGTTTAAAGCAACAAAAGAGGCAATTTATTTATTGGAGTGTAGAAGCATTACATCATCTGAATTCATACACTGAAATTGCCACAAAAAGGGTCCCATTGAAAAAAGACTTATATGTTTGCTAATTTCTCCTTGAAATCGGCCCAAATCACTAAGGACCGATTAAAAGCAACCATGGCTTGTCTTTTTTATTCTTCTAATTTAAGTAACTCTTCACGAAGATTTGCATGCTCGTGAGTAAGGTCTTGAGTTTCAAACTGCAATGTGGCAGCCTCGGCAGATAAGATGGCCTTACGGGCATGAATCTGGTCAATTTCTTGTTGGAGGATTCTCTTTCTTTCCTTAAGGCTGATGAATTATTTGTTCACTTGGTCAAATGTAGAAACTTGGGTTAATAACTAGTCACCAAGAGTATCCTTCCTACTCTTGTTCTTGTTAAACTAGTTGATCGATTCATTGGCCTAAAAATTTCATCAGCCAAAGCTGGCAGTTGACCTTTGAAAGTAGCGATGGTGGCTTAAAGGTCGACTGGGAAATCTGGATATTGGCTGAGTGTGGTAAGAACAGCCATGAGTTCAGTCTCAAATTGTGGAAGATCAACAACATCTCTTTGCAAAATCTCAACTAAAGCTTTTTTTGTTTCTTCCATGGTTTGTATTGGGACACTACTGAAGTAACTGGAGTTGTTCCTGAAGATTCACTCTCTCTCTCTCCTCAGTTACTGAAGCTACCACATCTTTGAAAAAATTACTTAAGGCCAGTAAAGAAGAAATAGGGACTTTTGGTGGTGGAAATAAAGGAACAATTTGAGTTTTTTCATGCACAACCTGTCAGTACAAAGAAGGTTAGATTACTGAATTTTGAAGTATGGACAAAATTTAAGGTATGAAACAATCAATACCTTGGATGATTCAGCCATATCTGCAGCCAATGGTGGCTGATAGCTGATTATTAGAGGAAGAAATTATGGCTGAAGAGCTGTACTGTCTCCTTGAGATGAGGCTTTGGCAGGAGTAAGTTGGACATTTAAAGGAACCTCAATGGGTTCATGAAAATCCTTCAAAGGGTTGAAATTCCTAATTGGACTATAAACCAAGTCAAGGAGAGGAGATTGCTACAAAAGAAATACCAATGGTGTTAGTAAAAGTATTGAAGGTTGAAAAGTTTATGTAAAAACCATCATTACCTCTTTTTCATCTGAGGAATGGTCAGAAGGATCATCAGCTACATTAATCACAGGGTCATCTGCCAATTCGATTACAAGATCATCAGCCACGTCTTCTGTTAGCTGAGGACTTGTTTCAACTTCAACTTTTTTGCCTTTGTTGAACTTTATCCTCTTTAAAGTTCTATGGGCAGTAGACTTTTTTCTTTTTTCCTAAAGAAGAAAATCTTATTAAAGATGATCTCGGCCGATAAACAACTCTGGTCGAGAAATAGGTATCAATATCGACGATGTATACGGCCGATATGATCATTTGTACTGAAGAATAAAAGTTTCTTAGGCTAAGAAGCATAATCTTTTACCTTGCCCACAAGTGGAGGGGCTAGAGCAATATCAGGGATGGTGGCTGATTCAGTTTTTGCAAGCTGAGGAGGTTGACTGGAGGAAATTTCATCATCTTGAAGATCAACATTATCTAGATTAAGGGAGGCTGACAAGGTTTCATTATCTGAATCTGCAAAAGAGTAAGAGAATTTAACTCAAAACTTTTAAATATATATATATATATGAAAATAAAAGAAGATTATACCTTTGAGAAGGCTGGCTGTGGCATTGGCCTTAGCTTTTCTTTCCTTATTAATCCTTATTGGAGGATTTGTTGGCTGAGAGAAATGAAGTTTCTTGGCTATTTGTTTCTTGCCTTTAGGAAGATCTTTTTGAGGCACAACTTTCTTTAGGGTAACAGCCCGAGTGATTATAAAAGCCCCTTCAAAGGCAACAGTTATAAACTTGAAGGATTCTAGGATTTTGATGATAAGGGACCGGCATTCAGCCGTCCTAGTAGAAGCAATATAAGAAAACCACCATTGGTTAAAACTTGAATCTGAGGCTGGGTTTTTGATAAAAGGTTGGAATTTGAATCCAGCTTGCAAACTAGAAAACCGAGAGGATACATTCTTAACATAAGAGTCATCCGGAAATACTACTCGCCGATGAAAATTTTTGTTAAAGGACAGAGAAGGAGGCATAGGAATCATTTGGGTCAAGCCGAATTGCCTAGCAAGTTGACAAGGGTTATAGAATTCAACCCCAACCTTTGAATTCACTATCCCCAAAGGACCAGTATTGAAATGAAGATCCCTTGAAATAAGAAAACTGGCATACATGGCCGAAAGTTCATAGGTAGTCTTTTTTGTAGACACTCCTTGAGGATGAGTCAACCATCGAGGGGCTTGAGAACAATGAGAAAATGGAAGAAATTGGATTATGGTCATGTGTTCACAGCCAGAGTAGAAAAAATTGAAGCAGTCTCCAAATGAGTGAGATTTTGGGCACGGCCGATGCATAACTCACAGAAAGGAGTGGGTCATTGGCCAATGGCCTCACCACAGGCCCTAACTCAGGAAAGTATACTTATAGCCAAATTTGAAATTGCCAAAGGGGGCCACCATAACGTCTAAAGTTGGAAGTGAGCAAGTTATAAATTCCCCGGTATAAATGGGAAAGCACTAAAGGGGCCAAAGCAAGGGGTTTACCTCTAGAAAGAGCAACGGCCACATGGATGTAATCTTTGGTAACTTGAAAGGCCGGCACACACAGAAGGAACTTATTCATCCAAGCCAATAAGAATGCAATATGTTCAGCATCATTTATAGGAAGACGAGGGTCCATGGTAGAATTTAAATACTTGCCATATGAAGACTCAGAGGATTTGGTTCTGGTTTGATTAGAAGGAAAGATGAAGGGAGAGTCCTCCTCTACTAATAAGTTACTCACGTCAATCCCAAAAGTCTTGAGGCCAGTCAAATAGCATACGTCTTGAATGGTTGGAGTCATCATGCCACACTTCAATTAAAGGAGTTGGTGGTGGTCAACCAATTAAACATAGTTGCTATCATTAAAGCCCTGTCTTAAGCAATATTTGTTTTGCTCAGTTGAATGGCATCATAAATACCACAAGCTTTCCACGTCTCTCCTTTTACAGCCCCAACCCGATCGACCCAATTGATCCAAGCATCATTGGGAACATGCCATGTCGTAAAATGAAAATGTGGCAAACTGCCATTTTCATTAGGAGGAAAAGTTTGAAGAAACGGAAGCACATCAGTTGAAGGGTAGAATGGCGAAATTAATTCAGGGGCTTTGTCAAGGAAGGCAGGACCCAAACCCTTGAAGTTAGTACCAATATCTATGAGAGTATTGAG